GTCTGCAGGTCTGTGCAGCTGAACATCTATCTGAGCCAACAGCTCCACGCTGATCACAGGTTTCTGCTTTAAGCTCTGACCAAAAACATCCTCGACGACCAGCCTCTCCCACAGATCCAGGAGCGTTCTGGACTCTGTGCGTTTTCCAGCCTGATGGAGCGCCGCGTCTCCAGGCTAAACTCAACACCAAGTGGCTCAGAGATCAGAAAATTAACCGTTTGTATCCGAGGACAGGAAACTCCCCGGTCTGAGAATCTGTGCTTTGGTGACTAGAAAAGTCTGTAAACTGATCATCTGGGTTTTCTGATGAAGCAGGAGTGGATCCAGCAAACCAGAAGATGTGTGACCACGAAAGTGGGAGGCTGCTGGAGCGCCGCTGGAGCGCCGCTGGAGCGCCGCTGGTGTTCAGAGGCCAGAACCATCTGTTATAAACTTAACAGAGCTGCAGCTGAGAGTTTTTAGCAGACTCAGCTTCATCCCTGTGACTGGTTATAAACTCTCACCTGCACCATAAGGAGCTGACGTAGACGTTCAACAGTCTTTTTATTCCATTTACAGTTATTCATATTTTCCAGGTTCACTTCCTGCCTGCTCAGAGCAAAGCGAGCGTCAGCAGGAGATCAGAAACCATTAAAGGGGAGGTGGGTGGAGGTGGACGTGGTTGCAGAGCAGCAGCACCTGCATACAGGCTGAAGAAGGTGAACCTGAAACACACAATAAAGAAAGCTGAGCTGCTGTAAGACGACACCGAGAGGCTCCAGTGATTCATGCTTCATATTTTTATAAAGCACAACCACCACCAACAGAAAGAGAGGAGACAGGGCTGAAGATACTGGGACCATCAGTCCATCAGAGGGAGAGAGTCAGACAGGCTGAGGTGGAGGACGGTGAAGATGGAGCTGCCAGGCAGGAGGAAATGCTGTCAAAGCTAAACGACGAACTGTTCTCAGCAGTGACAAAGTAAATCTGTGATGTTTGGGGGATTGTAGTTCGTGTTGTTGCTCCTTTAAGGCAGCTTGTTCAGTTTAACTGAACCATCATATATTTCCTGAACTGAGTTTGCAAACTAACCTGAAGTATCACTGAGATCTTCATCATTCCTTTAAATAATCGCTGACGCGTGAAGAAGATCTGATTTAAACCAGGTGACACATTATATCAGGTAAATCCTCCAATCAGGACACAGAAAGAGTTCTGATGTCAGACTGAATGATCACTGCAGTCTGACTCAGAGCTGAGAACAGAAACACTGAGGGGAGAATTAAACTCACTTCTATCAGAAAGTGATGCTGAAAGCTGAAAGCTGGTGGCAGGTGTAGAAAGTGCAGCTCGTCACGCTCAGAGGAAACCTGACAAAACAAAAACTTCATCCCAACTGAACCTGCAGGAGAAGCCCAGCAGAGCTTCGCGTCGCTCTAATTGCCAATTAGAGCTCCAGGCTGTGCAGCCTCTGGTGCTCCGTCTCAGCTGAGCCTCCTCATTAACTGCAGCGATTACCCGAGGCCTGCTCATTAGCCCCAGCTTCTTAACTCACAGGTACGTCCTTAAAAAGTTCCTGTGTCAGCACATTTGAACCTTCAGGTTCAGGTTTTGTTTTGCAGGAGAGAAGACAAAGAGGAAGTAGCCACGCTGTTTAATCAGGAGGGACGTGGAATAATCTGCTTCACCTCCTGCAGCTGAATGCATCACTGACATCATCTCCATCTACACCTTGGACAGGTCGCCTGCTGGTTACTGCAGATAAAGATGTTGTGTTGCAGCACCTCCTATTGGTCAGATGTGTCAGTCACAGGAGTCTGCATCCATATTCAGAACGATTCTCCAAGTTCACCTACAAATATCATCAAAGAGCTCGAAACCTTTCCCTGTGTGAGAGTGTCAGGATTAAAATGCTGTTTAATAACAAATACACCTGTGATCAGTCTGAATGCGGTGATTCACCCAGTGCTCGCTCACCTGAGCAGCAGTTTGTTCCTCAGCTGTGATTGGATGCTCTTCATGGAGAGGATCCTGCAGATGCTCTGTGGTAACATCTGTTATAACCTGGCTAAACTTTAACCTGAAATGATTGAAAACACCTGAAATATCTAAAAATACTAGAAGATTCTGACCTTACAAAGCAAAAGTACAAACAGATGAATGTCTTTTCTCAGCTGCATCATCCGTTCACTCAGACTCTGGGTGTCTCCATCACTGTGAGTCAGCTGCTCTCACAGCCTGTTCTTATCACGAGAACTTATCTGATTCC